ATTATTATTATTATTTCACAAAATTATTTTTTAATTGAATATTGGAAAAAAAAAAATCTCATAGAGAAAACAAACAAATATTTTATTAACAAAAAAAATGAACAACAACAACAAACAATTTGAATTAATATTCAAATCAGAAAAAAAAAAAAAAAATATTTCGAAATTTAAAGTTTATATATATATATATATTGCAAAACATTCTTCATCTTTCGCTAGGAAAAAAAATGATTTCCTTTGTCGGACCTTTGATTTATTTCCTTTTCTTTTAATTTTTTTTTTTTTTTTCCATTTTTTATGTGACCTCAAGTTCAAAAATTATTATTATTATTTTTTTTTTTTTTTAACTTTCGAAATTATTTATTTTTGCCAACTTTGGTAATTCGATTTGTTTTACTATCGTGGTTACCCCTCGGGTAACGTTTAGTTAAAAACGAAAAAAAGAGTAAAAGGAAAAAAACTATTGCCACGACTTTTTTTTTTTTTTTAAAAAAACGACGTCGTCGTCGTCGTGGAAAAAGTCGTTTATTAATAACTTTAAATTACTTTCGAAGATTTTTATTTATTTATTTTTATGTTTGTTTATATTTTAAAACAAATTTGAAATTTTCCCGCCAAAAATTTCTTTTTTCACTTAACCGGAAATGTAAAATGTAATATAAAAATTTATTAAAATGCGATTAAGTTCCGGTTGAAAAAGGAGAAAAAATTTTTTTACAAAAAAAATAAAAAATAAAAAATAAATTCAATGTCGTTTCGATGACGTGATTTCTATTTTTTTTTTTTTTTTTTAATTCGTGTCGTTAAAACGATTATTTTCGATACGATTCGATATATCGAAGTTAAAAGAAGGAAAATCTTACAAACGTTAACGTATTTACGATTTTATTTTTGTGAGTCGAGCGAGTGGGATTTGAGAGTGAATCATTTATCGTAGCAGAAAAAATATTTTTTTTTTTTTATAATCATAAATAGCAAACGATTATTCAGGTATATTAAATTACATTTATTACGTTTTGCACCTGTATATTTTCTTTCTCTCTCTTTCTCCCCCCTTCTCTCTTTCTCTCTCTCTCTCTCTTGGTAATATTTAAATAATTTTTTATTGTTTTGTTCGTACCTAAACGTTTTTTTTTTTTTTTTTTTTTTTTTTTTTCAATTTACTACTCATCATCGAGAAAATCGTTTATTATTATTATTATTATTAATATTATTAATTATTATTATTATTATTATTATTATTATTATTATTATTATTTGCGAGCGAGTAGGTAATAATACTCTTGTCAGAAGTATTATCGTGTCAGATTTTTGTTTTGCGTTTTTTGTTTTCCATTTATGGTTTTTTTTGCCTGCGGTTTGATTTGGAAGCGGCCATTTTTAAAATTTATCATTACTTTTATTTTTTTTTTTTTTTGTATTCGAAATTGTTATTGAACGTTCTTTATTTGCGTTACTGTAATTTTTCTTCTTCTCCTTATTCTTCTTCTTCTTCTTCTTCTTATTATTATTATTATTATTATTAGGTACGATATTTTCGTTTGTTTGTTTCGTCGTTTGTTTCGTCTTTTATCGAATACGCGAATACGAAGAAAAACAAAAAAACAAATAAGACGTAATTAATTTGAATTGAATTGAATTGAAAAAAAAAAAAAAAAAAATTTACGCGTTAAAAAAATTATTATTATTATTATTATTATTATCATTATTATTATTACTGTTTTTTTTTTTGTTGTTTTTCTTTGTTTTGTTATTCAAATTTTTTATTAAAAAAAAAAAAAAAAATGCGTGGCAATAATTTACGCGCATTAGAACTAAATGAAAAGGAAAAAAAAGGAAAAAAAATTTTTTTTAAAATAATAATAATAATAATAATAATAATGATGATGATGATAATGATAATAATAACAATAATAATAATGAACAAATGTTTTTGAAACGTTTTTTTTTTTTTATTGTTTTTCGAATAATGAGTAAAATCAAAGAATTTATTATCGAAAATAAAAAAAAAAAAAATTTTCTTTAATCAAAAAGTGTAAATAGAATTCGATTCGATTTAGAAAATGAAAATGAAAACGAAAAGAATTTTTTTTTAAAGTGGTTGCAGAAAAGAAAAAGAAAAAAAAGTTTTAAGAAACGATGTAAATCGGAGGGTGGGGGAGAAAACAAATGATCTATAATTTGTTTTGTTTCGTTTTTAAATTACCGTAACGTGGAAATAGATAAGATGATTTGAAAAAACGGAAACGGAAATGGATATGGAAAAAAAAAATGTTTCGAAACAATTTATAAAACTTTCGCGTTTCGAATGTTAACAACCCCTGTCAATTTCATTTATCAATTTCAATACCATCGTTGATGATATTTTAATAATTTATATATATATATATTAACCGGAAGTTATTGTTTTATATAAATCGAAAATATCGATTTACTCTATGAAATTAAATAATTGATGCGGGTCGTATGTGAATTTCCGAAGGGTGTGGCCGGTCGTATTTGATTATTTGGTATTTACAACCCCTTTAACAACCACTATTAAATCCTTTTTTTTTTTTTTGTTTACCGTCTTCTGCTCGCATTTTTGTTTTTTTTTTTTTTTTAATAAATGGTGGTGACGTCACCGTCGTATGTCCTACATATTTTATTTCAAATTTTTCAATACTTTTTAGTCAACTAAAAAAAAAAAAAAAAAAGTTGTTTTAATTAAAAAATTAAATTTTTTAGTCGTGGTTTGTTGTGAGACCTTAAAGAATGACTGACTAAAAAAAAAAAAAAAAAAAAAATTAGAGAGAGAGAGAATGGGTAGTAGATGAGAAGGAAGAGGATGATTATAAAAAAAAAGAAAAGAAATGATGTAAATATATATATATTTTTTATCGTTTTCGTATCCGAATAATTATAATAATAATTATTATTAATAAAAAAGTGAACGTAATTAACGTTTTCGTTACGTCACATAAGATGAAAGTGTGATAAACAATAAGTCATAGAGTAATTAAATCGTAAAATGTAAAAAATTTAATTTAATTTAATTTAATTTAATATATCGAAGAAAAAAAAATTAAAAAATTATTGAATTTAAAATTTATTCGGTGTGTCAAATTGGCAAGTTGTGTAGAAAAAGAAAAATTTAGAGCAAATTAAAAAGAGACAGAAAATAGAGGTGTAGAAAGAGAAAGAGAGAGAGAGAGAGAAATAAAATATAGACAAACAGGCAGAAAGAGAAAGAGAGTGAGAGAAAGATAAACAGGCGGAAAGGGAAAGAGAAAGAAAGATAAACAAGCAGAAAGAGAGAGAGAGAGACAAAGACAAACAGGCAGAAGCAAAAAGAGAGAGAAAGGCAAACGAGTAGAAACAGAAAGAAAGAGAGACAGAGAGAGAATGACAATTAAACAGGCAGAAAGGAAAAGGGAGAAAAACAGGCGGAAAGAGAGAGAAAGGAAGACGAGAAGGCAGATAGAGAGAGAGAGAGAGAGAGAAATAAAATTCCTTAAATTTTAATTCCGACAGGAATTCAGGTTTCGATATGTCAATATAATAAACGAATCAGGTGCAAAAAAAAAAAACAACTTAATGACTTTGTACAAATTACGACGATATTTTATCATCATCACGTCACGCTTTCTTTCCATTCATTTTCGTATTTTCTCTCCTTTTTCAATCCTCACCTTCCTCCCTCTCTCTCCCTACCCCCTTTTCCTCCCATTGTTTCTCTCATTTTACTTCTCTCATTATTATTGCTTTACTCGGTAAAAAAAAAAAAAAAAAAAAAAAAACATTACACCGTCAAATAAATTATTATTATTATTAACAATTAATGTTTTTTTTTTTTTTTTTTGCGTAGTCGTGGAACTAGATAAAAATTTCACATATTTCAAAATCACAATTAATTAATTACTCATAATGCATTCGTTTTATTTTTATTTTATTTTTAATTTTCTTCCGCTTAAAAGGAAGGAGGAGGAATAATTATGGATTACGTAATTCCATTAGCACCGAATATGTCGTAACAGAAGAAAAAGAAAAAAAAATTTTTTTTTACTCGACGCGCCATATTTAAAATTAAAAAAAAAAAAATTTTTTTGTTTGTCATACGAGATCATCATTATCCGAACGCGCCACGTAATTTTTTTTATTCTATATATAATTAAACGACATTAATGGTACGACATTTTGATTACGGTGAAAATGTCAAAAAAAAAAGACGTGTAAATAAAAATAAATCAAAATATTCCGAGTCGTGTAAATAACAATGCGTAACAAATCGACGGTTATTTTTTTTAAAATTTAATTTCACGCCATCATTTTACATTTATCCCTTAATTTCCCTCCCCCCGCCTCACGCCCTGGTGTGGGTAGGTCGAAGGGAAGGGAAGGGAAAACGAGAGTGGGGGGTGGGGCGAAAATTTGCCGTCGGTAAATAATTTTTTTTCTTTTTTTTTTTTTTTTCTGTCCTTTTAGTTCCGCCATTTTTTATTCGAGTCGAACTAATAATATATATATATTTTCCTTTTGTTTTATGGTTGATTTAAATTTCCTTATATATATTTTTGCACATATTAAAAAACAATTAAAACGAGAAAAATGTCAGCCATTTTGTTTTTTTTTTTATTGGGTCGCGTTTGACAAAAGGCAAAGAAAAAAAAGTGACCGTTGATAACCGTTATCGGTCAAAATACGTACGATACGATTGATAAAAAAGCTACCGTTTTTTTTTTACCGTCGAGAAAAAAACGTGGGTCTAGTAAATTTTTATTTATTTATTGTTTTTCTGATTCCACGGTCGATTTACTTTGTTGTTATTTTCATTTTGTAACGCTTTGAAGAAGAAGAAAGGAAAAAAAAAAAAAACAAAAATCGTGACATTTTTCTTTTTTTTTTTACCGTCTTTTACAAAAACGGTTTTCCCACGTGGGATTAGATAAATAGAATAGGATAGACATTTTGAATTATTTATTTATTTATTCTTTTGTTTTGTTTTTCACGTAGGATATTTAATGTTGAAAGAATCATCGTCTTTGAAAGACGAGATACAAGAGAAAAATATAATAAATAACATACCGCATCCTCCGGCATTACCAATGGGACCATTAGTCGATTCACAGGGATTGATATTACCCCGTAAGGTTTTCAATCCGTGCCTGGATTCGAAAGACCGTCAAGATTTGCACAAGGAATTGTTATTTAATAAAAGAATGTAAGTCATTTATTATTATTATTATTATTATTACTATTATTACTTCGTTACGGATTTTATTTAAATTGGATTTTGTAACGGCCACGTATATACGCGGGGTAGGAGCGGTAGGAGGTTAGACATATACGAGACGACGGGGAGAAAGTAATTGATTCCATAAATAAAAGTGAAATTTTTTTTATTTTTAAAACGTTTTTATACGCACCTGATGGCGATCGATCGATCCTTAATTCAATCAAGTCAATCAACGATATTAAACGACGTGCGTAAAACGATTTCGTATTTTTTTTAAAAAAAAATTTTTTATTATGTTTTCATCATCATTATCATCTCGTCAACATCATCAACATCATCATCATCATCATCAACATCACCGCCTTCTTCATTTTGTAAAAATAAAAATAAAAGCCCAGAAAATTTTATTTATTACGGTTAACCGCCGCCATTTTTAATTCCGGTAATGTTTTCGCTTTCGTTTTCCCGATTAATTTTTATTTTTTTAAATATTCTCGCCATTTTTCTGATTTCCCCAGCCCCCGCCCTAACCTCCGCCTTCCGCTTTCTCGATTTAAATTTTATTATTATTATTTATTTTTTTTTTTTTAAATATTTGTCGAATTATTTAATTTAAAAACGAATCGAAATAATAATAAATAAATATGAAAAAAAAAAAAATGGCGATAACGAACTTTTTGTATTACGTCACGCGAAACGTCACGCTATTCGTTCCTGTTACGTAACAACATGGCGGCGGCAAATGAGTTTTTATTTTGTATTTTTTAACCCAAATTTTTTTTATTTTGTGTGTTTGTTTGTTTTTTTTTTTAAACTTATTATCTTATTTGCTTTTACGTTTTATTATTATTATTATTATCATTGTTGTTGTTGTTGATTGTTGGCCTTATTGAAAATATTTGTTGATTTTTTTTTTTTTTACAAAAATGCCTGCGAGTCAACCTCAAATATGGATGGAAAAAAAATTAATAACAAATCGAAGGGAAAGTTATTATTATTATTATTATCACTTTTTAATTTTAAACGTCGCCAAAATCATAATAATATTAATAATAATAATATTAATAATGTTCAATCACGTAAATGTATCAGTTGTTGTTTAGAAAAAAAAATGGCGTCGGGATAATAAATTATTTTAGTAAAATTTTATTCGTTAGGAAAAAATTTTATTTATTATTTTACATAAATAATAAACCTCAGGGTAAAAACCCAAAACCGAATGGAAAGTTTTTTTTTTTTTTTAACGAACTAGAAAGTCATTATCAGAATTTTTTTTTTTTTTTTACGCGTTAACAACACTATTAATAATAATAATAATAATAATAATAATAATAATAATAATAATTGCTTTGAATAAAAGCTTCTGGAATTTTTTAGGTTTTTTATTTATCGTTTAAATGAAAAGGCGCGAACGGTCGTAGGAGTACGTTACGGGATTATGACGTCATTTGAACTACGTCATGATATTACAGATGAATCTTTTTCGTCTCTCTTTCTCTCTCATTTTCTGTTGCTTTTTCTCTGTTATTCTCTCTCTTTCTCTCTTTCTTATTACTTTTATCTATCTATCTCTCTCTCTCTCTTCCTTCTTTTCTGCTGCTCTTTCTTTGTCGTTCTTTATCAGTCTCTCTCTTTCTTTGTTGCTTTCTATTAGTCTCTCTCTCTCTCTCTCTCTCTCTCTCTCTTTCCCGCCCTTTCTAGAAGGATTAGAATTGTAAACCATTTCTGTTTGTCTCTCTCTCATTTTCTGTTGTTCTTTCTCTGTTATCCTCTCTCTCTCTCTCTCTCTCTCTCTCTCTCTTTTTGTTGCTTTCTATTTGTCTGCCTGTCTGTTTGCCTCTCTCCCTCCGTTTCCTTTCCAGAAAAATTAGAATTGTAAACCTTTTCTGTTTGTCTTTCTCTCTCTTTTTCTCTTTCTTTGCTGCTTTCTATGTCCGTTCGTCTGTCTCTCTCTCTCTTTATCGGAGGAGGATTAGAGTTTTAAACCTTGACCTCGTCAACGATCGAAATGCTTAGACTTTAGTTCATACTTTTGGAATCGAAGCAAAAAAAAAAAAAAACCTGTCACAACCGCATATGCATTACTGTCTTTTAGAAAAACGTATTATTTCATCATCATCATCATCATTATTGAAATGTTTTTTTTTTTTTTTTCTCTTTCCAGAGGTAAAAACGTATTAAATCAAAAATCCGAACTTCAGAGAGCTTTGGAAAAGCACAAGGATCATCAGACGAGAAAAGAAATGGAAAATGAAAAAAATCAAAATAAAAGCCTTTTGGAAAAAGTCATCGAAGAAAGAGCGAGAAGGATCGAAAGCGTGAGTTTTTTTAATTTTACTTACTACGTCACGTGACTTAGTGACGTGTCACATGACGTCATGACCACCGTTCATTTTCTCACTTGATCTCGCTCACGGACGTTACGTGCGTGCGTGCGTGCGTGCGTGCGATGCGGCATCCGATCCTTCCTTCACCAACCAACTTTTTATTTTAAAAAAAATGAATTTAACCTCTGACCTTTAACCCGCGAAAAAAACATATATTATTGATGGATTGCATAAGACTTTCTAATTTTTTCATTATTATTATTATTTTTTTTTTTTTTTTGTCAGATGGAGAAAAAGGAAGAAGCATCGAATCGACTTCCGGAATTCATGCAAGTTCATGCCAAACTAAAAAGTTACAACAAAGACAGTAAATAATATTAATAATAATAATAATAATAATATTAAAAAAACCGCAAACGATGATAATAATAATAATAATGATAAATACCAAAGGATTTTTAATAAAATAAAAAATAAAAATACGATATCGAGGAAGAAAAAAATTTTCTTTTTTTTTTTTGGAGGGGGGTGGAGGAAAGAAGTTCGTTATTTTTAGGATAGGGTCAAAGGTTAATGAAAAGGTTAGGGATGACGTCAGGTATGTTTTTTTTTTTTGAAGAAAGTTTTACGTTCGTAAACATTTTCTTAATTTTCTTTTTTTGTGGAACTATCAAAAAAATATTATTTGTAATTAATAATAATAATAATAATAATAGTACATATTTTCAGTCAGTACCGTATGCAGGAAACTTTTTTTTTTTTTTACAATTTCTTTTTTTCTTTGTAGTAAACGATGATGATAATAATGATAATCAGTATAAGGCCTAAATAAAAATGTGAAAATAAGACTTGTTTTTCGGAGCTTATTAATAATAATAATCATAATAATAATAATAATATTTGGTGACAAAACAAAACTTAACGGGTTTTATCGTTTTTTTAAAATAATTCTCCCGAATAATAATATTTTTTATACTCGGACATTTTAATAATAATAATAATAATGATAATATTTTATAAGTGTGTAATTTATTTCATTACGTATATATACATATTATTATTAATAATAATAATAATAATAATTATAATAATAATAATAATAATAATAATAATAATAATAATAATTATGAAATTGAAGTTTGCTTATTACGTTTCGAAATCTCATATTAAATATTAATTATCACTATTATTATTATTATTATTATTTATAAATAAATATTTATGAGATTTTAAATTTGATGATTCAAGCCACCGATGACAAAGTAATAATAATAATAATAATAATAATTATACTTTTGTTTTTTCTCAATCGCGTATTTTTTTTTTTTTATGTATTATTATTTGATTATTATTATTATTATTTTGTTTGTATGGTTTTTTATTTTTTACTTTCATTACGTGTTGATGACGCGAATAATAATAATAATAATAATAATAATGATTTTTAATAAATATTATTATTGTGATTACGTAATTGATCGAATTGTATTCGAATAATAATAATAATTATTATTATTATTATTTTAATTTTATCATTATCATAGGTGTATTGTTTTTATTTAATTTTTTTTTTTTGTATAGAAAATTGTATTAATATAATTTAATTAATTATAAATATATTTAAAGAAAAAAAACGATTTCGTTTTTATTATTTTCCTATTTTAATCGATACTCAACAATCGATTTAAAGTCGATAAGTCGAAGATAAATAAAAAAATAAACCGGATTTGATTTTCCCGCCTTTTTCTGAAAACAAAACAAATGGCGGTTATTTTTACTTTATTTTTTCATTTTCAAAGGTTGCCTTTCCGATATCATTTCATGGCGGAACATTAATCCGTTAGTATTACTATAATTATTACGGGTGATATTTTCTTTAGTTTTTTCTTATTTATTTATTTTTAAATTTAAATTATTAATTTTTCGAGTAATAATAAATTAAAATTTGTACGATGCGCAACGACGTTCGTTATTGATCTCTATGGTTTCGAAACAATTTTTTTAAATTCTTTTACTCTAAGGTGCCACTTGTTGCTTAACAGGTGATTAATTCAATCAAGTTTTTTTTTTTTTTTTTCTTTTTATTTTTAAATCAACGGATTAATTTTGAATAATAATATTTTATAGTCGTTATTAAAGTTATTAAAACGATAAAAAAGTTTATTTTCGTTTTATGATGTCGTTTAAGTACTATTTGTGAGCCAACACAACAAGTTGTTAAATCGGTAAAAGTTATTTTCAAGTGAAATGAAATTTTTGGAACGTTTAAATAAAAATGAATGAAAATACGGAAATAAGAAAGCTACCAGCTGCAGCCATTTATAAACTCGGACAAATTCTAGATACTGAAAATGCTTGGCAAAAAGTAATGGCTATGATTCCATCAGATCCAAACGATTTTAACTCTGTTGCTAAATATACACCTCAACACATAAAGTGATTTTCTTTTTTCTTATTATTTCTTTTGTTAAAAAAGGTAAATGTATTTTTTACATTACTTATTTTAAACACTTTTAGATTAATTCAAACAGCTGGAGAAAAACAAAATAAATCATGTACAGAAATTTTATTCGATGAATGGGGAACAAGTGGTGAAGTTAGACCAAATTTAAATACTCTATTACAAATTTTAATCAAGGCACAATTTTACAGAGCGGCAGAATTTGTAGCTGTTGAACTATTGAAAGGTGATTTATTTAATTTATATTATTTCAAACAATTTCGATTTGTGTTTTAGTTCATGTGTGACATGTTTTTGTATATTTTAAAGGTGAACCTCCGGAAAGGCCTCTCGTAGGACCTGCTGCTCCTGTCAAATTACCTTCTCTAACTCAAGACTTAGGTAAATCGAAATTGAATTTTTAAATGTTTATTTTTCTAAATATTATTTTTTAAATGAATTTTTAAAAAAATTATTTTCCAGACTCGAATTTCCAGTCAGGTGATGTAATACACATACCTTATTCAACTCTGGAACAAGTAACGAATAATTTTAACGAAACTCCATTGAAAAAATGTATTCATGGAGATGGAGTTGTACATTTTGTGAGTAAAATTCAACTGAGTTTTTACCTTCCTATGTAAAAGGTAATTGGAGATGGGTTTTCTGTATCTGCAAATAATAATAATAATAATAATAATAATAATAATAATAATAATAATAATGATTATTAAATTTTTAAATGTTTTTTGTCTGCTTCGAATTGACAACTCGAATTTTATGCATCATCTCGTGATGGAAATTTGGTTTTTTTTTTTTAAGACGGGTCACAAATTAGGAAGTGGAGCTTTTGGAACTGTTTATTTTGGAGAACTGGAAAATGGTAAACAAGTTGCTGTGAAAAAATTACACATGACAAATATCAATTTGAAAAATCAATTCGAAAATGAAATAAAAGTTTTGTCGGAGTAAGTCGATTCAATTTTTTTTCTTTCTCTGAATTACTTTTAATTGGGAAATTTTCTGCAGTGTTCGAATAATTTTCAGGTACAGACACGTGAATTTGGTACCCCTGATTGGATTTTCATGCGATACGGATGATAATTGTCTTATTTACGAATTTATGTCGAACGGTTCTCTCCTGGATAAATTACAAATAAAAATAGGATCCCCGAGTGTTTGTAATAGTTTGGATGCTAATAAAGTACTCAACGGTATGGTTTCAAATTGCGGAAGTCCTTCCGCCATATTGACGGACAAACCTCTCGGTTGGATGAAAAGAATCGAAATTGCATTAGATGTATGCGAAGGAATTAATTTTTTACACAATTCTAAAAAATTCCCTCTCATACATCGAGATATCAAGTCGGCAAATATTTTGCTGGATCATCGCTTAACCGGAAAAGTAAAAACAATTTTATTGCGACGTGGGGGTAGAAAAATAATAATAATAATAATTATATCGAAAATAATTTTTTTTCAGCTGGGAGATTTCGGACTCGTTAAAATCAAACCGAATTTAACAGAATCGAAAATGTTGACGAGCACGGTTTTCGGTACTTCTGCATACATGGCACCGGAAGCTTTCCGGGGTGACGTTTCCGTCAAAATGGACGTTTTCAGTTACGGCGTCGTTCTTTTAGAACTTTTAACGGGTTTACCACCCTACGATGAAAATCGAGAAGGCTGTGATTTAGTACGTTAACCAAATCCTCGTCGTCGAAACACGATTTTGTAATTTCATATTAAAAAAAATTTTTTTTTTTTTTTCCAGGTGACTTACGTCGAAGATGCTGTCGACGATTCCATCGAATTCCTTTTGGATAAAAAAGCTGGATTTTGGAATTCCGAAATCGCGCAGAAAATATTTACACTATCTCAATCATGTTTGGAAGAAAAAAAAACGAGACCTTTGATTAAAAACGTTTTGGAAACTTTAAAATTTATTTATAACGACTCTTTCGAATCCGAAGATTCTTCCACGGCTTGACTGAAGGTTGAACGTTATCGCAATGGCGGCGAACTGTGATTACGTCACGTAATAATACAAAAAAGTGAATAAAATGTAATAAAAATAAATGTCACGATGATGTACATATTATTACAAATAAATAACTTATTTTATTTTTCAGTCTTTAAAAATTATATACACGATTAGAGAGAAAGAGAAAGATGGAAAATTAATTTTCCGCCATATTGATTTCTATTAATATCAATCCGAACTGATGGAAAAATTCAATGAAATACCGTAAAGGAACGCAATCGAACACATTGAATATTCCGCATATATTTGTCGTCATTCTTATGACGTCACCGTCATCCGACGTGTTGACAATTAAATTGGGCAAAGCTTCCGTCGACAAATGTGGGAAAAATATTTTATCAATTTTATACGTGTAATTCATTTTATAATATTCGTGACTCGTTTTGAATTCGTTGTAAAGACTCGTCGGAAAAGCGTAGAAAACTCTGTAATTTTTCCGTAATTTTTTCCTTTTCTCTTCTCCGTATTTCAAAACGTTTATCAATTTGACGTTTATGTTTTCGAAATTTTCCGAAGATCCCAATTCGTGTGTCGCAAAATTTGGATTTTTATATTTCGGATGACGTTTGACGGAAAACAAATGTTGCGGTATCGTGTACACGTGACTCGTTATCAAATGATACGTCGTGTATTTTGGCTTTTCCGCAATTTTCCAACCGAAATCCTTGGACAATCCGTAGATTCCACCCTGGTGAAAAAATCCGAAAAAAATGACGAGCCCCACATTTATCACGTACCATAAATTCATAACGAATTCTCTTTTTCTCTTCGTCATTTTCTTTTCTTTTTCTTCTTTCGAATCCGTTTCCGGTGGTGGTGGTACGTCCGTAAAAACGGGTCCCCCATCGTCGTCGTGGGAATAATAATCCGAACGTGGTTTTGCATCTCTCGTAGTTTCCGCGACGGTTTTCTGTCTCAAATTAACCAAATACCTTCCGTTAATGTTGTACCTGTTGTCGATGTTTTCCGTGAGTTTTTCAAAATATTCAATGAATTTCAACGGATATTGGAAAACTCCGAAATTTTTCCTTTTCGGATAAAGTTTTCTAAAAGGAACGATCAATTCGCAATGCTCTTGAAAATCTTTTATCAAGTGGGAATAGAGGAAAACCAACGGGAGAAGTATCGGAATTATGAATCTTGGTTCCTGATGTGAAAAAATGGAAAGTCCCAAAACCGGAAGTAGGAAAGAAAGCGTCATCATTCCAGTTATGCTTTGAGATTTTGGCATGAGAGTCCAATTGGACAAACCGCTTCTGAAAAACAAAAAACAAAAAGAAAAAGAGAAATATTGGAATGACAAAAAAAAAGAAGAAATTTAAAGGAAAATTTACCTGTACAAAAGTTTAACAACGACGATCAAACCGGAAATGCCTAAAACGTTAAATAATAATGGTATGTTAATTAAAAAATGTAAAAATCTCGAATGAGTTCCATGTTTTGATAAATTATTCGAATCCATATTGTATTTGATAAAATTCAATGGCGTTACGACAAAATTTTCAGGGCCGACGTTGAAATGAAAAATTTCAGACAAACTTATGTAACCATAATAAACGGAATCGAAATAAATGAAAGACAAAATGAATGGAATGGAATAAAAAATGAAAATGAAAATTCTTATATGGAAATCGATCAAATATGTCGATTTTGAATTTAAACCTCTTTGAAACCAATAAAACAATGGAGTCAATGCATATAATATAAATGTTGGACGATTAAATGTTCCAGCAACTGTTATAAATGATATATATATGGATTTGTTCAACGAATGTTTGGGTAATATTTTCATCAATTTTCTCACTTTGACTTTATCAGATATTGTTTCAGCTTGTTCATATTTATCTTTTAAAAAATCATTTTGATAATTTATCTAAAAAAAAAAAAAAAAAAAAAAAAAAGAAAACAATATGAAAGTCGATTTTGTAAAAAAATAAGATGGAGTGAAATTTGTTCTAGTTAATAAAATTTGTTAACTTACCTTTTCAGATTCCGATATACAAGATGATACTAAATAGAGTAAAATATTAAAACAAGTGACTTCAATTGTATTTGTAAATGTTCTCGTCATGAAAACGAGGGACACAAAAGAACTGGAAAATATGGTGAGTCTCTCTTTATAATTTTGACAATACTGATAGCAAATTTTAAAAAGGCAAACGTCTGATACGAATGAAATGATGCACATTGACAGTCTTGGTACGATTAATAACGTGTAAGAATTTATTAGGTTTGAATTTAAATAATATTCCATTAATCCGGATAATTTTTTTAATAACGAGAAAGGGATTTGCATTGTGACGTATGAAAGGGCAACGTTTCTTATAGGAAACGTTACGTTGAATTCCCACGGGAGTGAGACTTCAAAGTCAAAAACGTTACCTGAAAAAAATATAAAAATGTCATTTGTTAATGAATAGAGGGGAGTTTTTTATATGGGGGGCAAATTAACTCACCGGCAAAAACTTCGACGGTTTGAAAAAATTCATCGGGATGAATGTAACCGGTTTGCGGTAATAATGTTAATATTATTCTTAACATGACCCAATACCAATAATTTCCCAATTCTAAATCGATGACATATTTTATTGTGTTTTTGCAACGATAATAAAACTGAATCGGAAGTCGTTTTAAATGAATCGTCGTAGGATAAAAATCCATCGTGACAATCGAACATTTTAATTTTTATTTACGACGGGAAAAAATAATAATAATAAGTTAAGTACAATATCAATTAATGCAGTTCAAAAAAAAAAAAAAAAAAACATTTTTATTTATTTTCTACGTTCCGCCATTTTGATTTAAGTAATCATATACGGGTCAGTAGATTTTTGCCGCTTGTTTGACGTCATTGACGGTTTTACGCGGTAAACAAAACAATAAACGTCTTCTGCTGTATATTGCATTGTTTGCACGAGAACGATTCCTTATTAAGCACAAATTAACTTTTTTCTTTTTCTTTTTACGGGATTGGATAATAATAATACGAAAAAGGTTAAAAAAATCAATAAAATAAACATTATTAATAAAAAATAATAATTATAATAATAATAATAATAATAATAATAAAATAGTTAATAATATTTTTAGTAAGACCACAATAAGAAAAAAAAATTAAATACAAATTTAATTTCAGTCTAACATTTGTTTTTCATACGCGCTCACACACACCCACGCACGCACACGCACACACACAAGTTCACATATTTATCTTATACGCTTAAAACTAAATAAGTCAATCAATCAATCATTCATTCATTCATTCATTCATTCCCTAAACGCTTTGATTAATGTTAACAAATTGCAATTTTATTTTTTTCATTCACGCACACACACACGCGAAAACATTCACGGGGCATGTTAAAAAGAAGTGGGGCCGGGCCGGAGCGGGGGGAGGGGGGGAGAGTACATAAAACCACCTTGAAAAAAAATTTTCTTTTTAAAACTAAAACCGTCATTATTAATTAATTTGTTAATAATTATTATTATTCATAATATCCTCCTCCTCTCCTCTCCTCTCCTCTCTTCCCTTTCCTCTCCTGTCTCAGCATCCCATTCGCGTCCCCTTAATAAATTTTCCTTAACGAATAATTAATAAATGCAGGCGCTAATAATTATTATTATTATTAATAATTTTTTTTTCTCGTCTTTTTGTTTCGCATTTCCGGTCGTTCGATTAACGATATATTTATTTTCGATATTATTCGATTATTATGGCAATTTATCGATAGATAAAAATTTTATTTTCCACCGTAATTCGATCCGTAATTGCTTGATGGTCCACGATGTCGATCTCTGTTGTGTTGAGGATGATTCGGTGAATACCTTAAAACAATGTTTGAAATGTTTACCGAGAGAATAAAAGAAAAAGTTTGTTTGTTTGTTCGTTTGTTCGTTTGTTTGTTTGTTTGTCGTATTGAGTATACTCACCTGCTATCAGGTCTGTTGTGCACGACGGCATAATGATCGCTATTCGTCGATATGCTTCTCGTTGAATTCATTGTCGAACCACCCGACGTGTAACCCATGTTTGGTTTTCCATTCAACGAATACCTGAAAAGCGAGAGGGGTTAAGGTATGGGTGTGACGTTAGAGTAGGCGATAAAAAAAAGGAAAACAATTAAAATGTGACATACCTCGAACCGTATTGAGATCCGTGCCAACTTCTATAAGGATCGTAATCTTCAATTATGCTCGGTTCTTTTTCAATAACTTCCGTTCTCGCGCATGCGCACGTCATTGCAGAACAAAGGAATATGTTTATCAAAAGCATTATTAAAAACATCAAACCGAAAGCTATGCACAGGTACAGGAGCCATGGTGGGTAACCGGAATTTTCGCATATTCCTTCCACGTCTGAAAAACGGAAAATTTTGACGAATGAAATTTTTCCCCTCTCCCCCCCTTTCTCGTTTCGACCGGAAACGGGAAAATGATAAAACTTACACGGACTGGCACCGGGTTCCAAAACGAAAACGCTCGTGCTCGCCATTAGTGTACCTTCTTCGTCTGGATCTGGAATTGTTTCTTTACTTCCAAAATTTCTTCCCTCCAGTGTGTTTAACGTTTCTATATTGTCGTCGCAAACGGGTTCAGGACACGAACCTACAAAAACCCAAACAAATTAACGATTTTATCTCTCTCTCTCTCTCTTTCTCCCTCTGACTCTCTCTTTCTCTCTTTCTTTCTCCCTCTGACTCTCTCTTCCTCCCTTTTGACACTCTCTTTCTCTCTCTCTCTCTCTCTCACCTTTGCAAACGGCAATGTCGCATTGAAAATTAGTCTGAGAACTTTCTGGAAATCTAAACATGGAATATAAAATTGCATCTGCGGCGTTCGCGTTGTAATCCCATCTGAAAGGCGTTATAACCATCGTATCGTATGGACACCTGAAACACATAATTTCCACAGATATATCAAATAATAATAATAATAATAATTCGAAAGGTTATCGATTGCTTCTTTGAGAACGGTATCGAATAATATAATAATGATAATGATAATAATTAAAATTTACAAAAGGAAGGTTTTTTTTTTTTTTATTTTGTTATCTTCACTTTTCAACTTTGACCTTTTAGTTCATTAAAAGAGTTCAAAGGAATAAAAAAAAAAGGAAGAGGAAGAAGAAGAAGAAGAGAGGTGTGTAAGGATAATTCCTCCTTTCTTCCCCCTTCTCTCTCTCTCTCTCTCTTTTTCTTTCTACTTTATTTCGCATTGTAATTTAATCTTTTTTTTCTCTTTTTTTTTGTTTAACGTGAAAGTGAAAAGGGTGGTGAGGGAGGGGGGGTGGTTGTGAGGGCGGTGGCGGTGGCGGTGTCGAAAACTTTAAATAAATTAAATTTTTTTTTTTTATCTTTTCGTAAAGAAGCAGACGATGTTTTTTTGTTTTGTTTTGTTTTTAAAAATTAATTAAATCTCACCCTTTTTCGTCGATCAATGGCACGCTGTTGTTTCTTTTATTAAATGCGAAACACGATTTTACTCTTATTCCGTATGAACCTGGAAAAAAAGAAAAAAAAATTTCATTTCATTCATGGAAAATTTTGGAATTTTTGGGTGTGGAACTTCTCACTCCTCCCCTTTCCTCCTCCTCCCCTCCTGCCCCCTCACTCCTCTCCACACATTTTCATCCTACGTCTTTTTTTTTTTTTCGTTTCTTCTTCTTCTTGGATTTAAGACAACAAACCTGTCCATGTCTCCTCTTTGTATTTACATCACGTGGGAAATGACGAAGGACGAAGGACGAAATCAAACATTTAATTACTATCAATAATAATGATAATAATGATGATGATGATGACGTTACGTATCGTTTTGACCTTTTTTCAACTTTCTTCTTCTATTATTATTAATTCGGTTATTATTATTATTATAAAAAAAGGAAAAATTACCGTCGGGCCTGGAAATATCCGCTCTTAATATATATTCGTGTCCATATAAAACTTCGTTAACTTTGACCTTTCGATTTTTATCAACGAGTTTTAGGGAAACAAGGGACGTTTCGTTTCTTGTATTTTTAAATCCAGCTTTACCACAAGTTATGACGTAAAATTTATCTTCTGCTAATTCTAACGTTCTATGTAATCGAACGGCTATAGGTACGGATTGTTCGTCTGTTCTCTGAAAAAATAAATAAATTAAATTTAATTTAAAAAAATGTGTTAAGGTGAAAATAATAATGTAAGAAGTAAGATGGTGGGCGAGAGAGCGAGCGTGTGTGTTTGTGTGTGCGCGGTTAATAAGAAAAGTTGTTTAACGTATGTTTCGATTACGACGGCGATAATCTTTTTACAAAAAAAAAAAAAAACAAAACACATTTTTCCCCGGTTGCCGTAGTCGTAGTCGTCGTAGTCGTCGTTTACCATTTTCGTCTCGTTTTAAAAACCTTGATTTGGTTTTGTCGTGGAATTAGATTAAATAAAATTATAAAGAATCGTGTAACGAGAAAACGTATCTTATCCAAACAAAAAAAATAAAATACGTATCTTTATCCTTTTTTTTTTTTTTTTATGAAAAAATTCAAGTTGAAAATGTATTTAATACGTGAGGTACTTTAAAAAACACGTCACATATGTTTTTTTTTTTTTTACGCGACCTCAAACTTCGCGAGGTCAAATCAAAATCGCGAGGTCAAAATTCCAGTAAAAAAAAAAAAAAATTTTGTATTTTATTATAATTCCATCGCGAATTTTGCTTTTTTTTTTTTTACCTCCGTCGAACCGTTTTTTTTTTTTTTAAAATTTTCTAAAATGAAATTACAAAATATCATTAACACGTAGTAATAATAATAATGATAATAATAATGATAATAATAATAATGATAATGATAATAATAATAATGATAATGATAATAAACGTCCTTGATGTTCCATTAATATTTTTTCCGGTCTGTTGCCTTTTTTAATATTCAATTTAAAAAAATTCTCGAAAAACGAGGAAGAAAAAATTTCATAGAGTAAAAAAATGAAAAAAAAGTAAATAAAGTAAATAAACGTCGGTTGAATTCTTTTCCCCTCCCCTTTTCCCCCCTTCTCTCCCCTTCTAATACCAAATGATAATAATAATACCATTGCTCAAATTCAAAATTCAAGGTAATCAATAATAATAATAATAATCACGTCGATTTTTTTAAATTTTTCATTTTTCATTTATTTATTTACTTCTCATCGTCTGCTTTTTTTTTTTTTTTTAAAAAATTAAAAATGGCGCCGAAATTTTTTTTTGCTTTTCTTACTAATGCATCTTCCCCCGCCCCCGCTCTCGCTCTAACGTTTAGTTTATTTACTCATCACTCGAATGACATTAAAATAAAAACGCCACGAACGGTCTTGAATTTTTCCGAAAAACCGGAAAAAATAAACCGGAACTTCCGGCGGTTGTTGATTTTTAATTTTTACAATGAAATGAATTTTCATTTAGAAAAAAAAAAAAAAATTTAAACGTTTTTTTTTTTTTTATAAAAAAATATTCATTTCAAAACCTTGAACTTGGTATTGAGAAATTCATTATTATCATTATCATCATTATCATTATTATTATAACCCGATCGTGTTACGCGTTTCTATTTTCATTTTTCAAGTTTAACTATTATTGTTATTATTATTATTATAATCGTATTAATATTATATAACGTGAAATGTCGTGGGAGTAGTAACTATTGTATGAACGTTATTAAAATGGATACGATATGAAAATAATTTTTAAAGGCCGAACGACAAACAAAAAAAAAATACCTGGAGAAAAAAAAAAAACATGGCCGACCGATTACTAAAAAAGTAAAAAAAAAAAAAAAAAAATAAGGACACGTTAAAAAAAAAAAAAAAAAAAAAAGTTGTACTATTAATTAAATAAATCCCACGCGGCGACATTTTTTTTGTCGAACTTTTGTTGTCCACCCCTCCTCCCCCCACTCTGTTTAATTATTATTATTATTATTATTATTAAACTCACGTTGTTAATTAAAACTCCACAGTGATCTGGAGTTCCTGGAGGTGCGAGAAGATTTATTCCCAAAATAGTTAAATGAGTTCCATTACCGTTGGACATGCAGCCTGGAGTTCGATAATCTCTCGCGTGTATCGTACCTGGAAAATAAGAAAATTTTTTTTTTTTTTATTTACACGGCTTTTAAAAAATTAATCTCGTTCCACGTTAAAAAAAAAAAAAAAAAAAAAAAAAAAAAATTTCAGGTTTTCGTTTAAGATTTTAAATCGATTGAAACAACCGATTTGAAATTTTTTCTTCTTCCACGTCTCTTCTTCCGTCGCTTTTAACAAATAAAATTTAATTCGTTTGTTAAATATTTCATAATTTCTATCATTACCGCAAATCGAACGTGTAATACTCATTAACAACCCAAACGTAATTTTTTATACAAACAAACAAACGAACAAACGACAAACGTATTACGTAATTTTTAAAACATTTTTTTTTTTTGGCGCGAACGGTTGAGAATTCTCCGATATAATAATCATTTGGGATGAAATTTTTTTTTTATTTTGTTTGTTGGGTCGATGCGTTTGTCTCATCGCGTTTGTCTCGTCACGTTCTCGCGCGATGACCAAAACAAACACAAACAATTTTTTTTTTTTTTTTTTTTATCAATTTACACACGAGTTGAAAAAACGTAATCCCTCTCGAGCTTAGAGAAAAACAAAAAAAAAAAATCCCAAAACACAAACAAACAAACAAAACAAAAAGAAGTATTAGAGAGGAGGATTACGGGATTATTGATAATAATGATAATAAAGGATCAAATCATCCGTTTGATGATGATGATGATGATGATAATTACACAGGGGAAAAAAAAAAAAGAAAAAAAATTCACTCACCGAAAAATGATTGATTCGTTGATACTTTAATGGTCATGTAACCGCCTTTACACGTGGCAGTAACAGTCGGTGTAAAATCTTGTTCTACGAAACCGTGGCATCGTATCTGAAAACACAAAAAAATTATTTATTATTATTATTATTATTATTATTATTATTATTATTATTATTATTATTATTATTATTATTATTATTATTATTAAATTTTTATTAAACGTGTGAAAATTAAATAATGATAAAAAAAAAAAAAGAAAACGAATGACTTTGAAAACGAGTCACGTGATTATCATAATATACCGTTTAAATATTAAATTGCAATTTTATTAAAATTAATTAATAATTTAAAAGGAAAAGAAACGAAAAGGGGGAAGGTGGGAGGGGGGAAACTTTCACGAATAAATTATACCCGCATCATTATTATTATTATCATTCGCGTATTTTTTTTTTTTACGTTAGATTTCCAAAAAAAAAAAATTAATAAAAAATTTGAGGCGCACGATAGAAAAGTAAGGATGAAATTCATTCGTCTAATGACACGACAATGAATAATCATAATGATTTTTCTTTGAAAAGTTTATGTTGGAAAAAAGATGTGTTCTGTGTCTTGTCTGTCCAAGAAACGAAACAACAACAAAAAAAATAAATTTTTTTTTTTTTAAAGTTGGCCACACTTGTTCCGTGCCTATATATAGAAAATATCGAGCGAAACGAATTACAAGAAACGAGTTTTTTTTTTTTTTTACTTTAACTTTAATTTATTTTCTTTTGTAAAAAAAAAAAAAAAAAAAAAACGTAATAATAAATCAAGCTTCTCCTCCATTTTGTTTTTGATATAATTTCAAGCAGAAGACATTTTATTATTACGGTTTTTGTTAATGAGAAAAATCAAGGACTACGTTTTATAAATATAAAAAAAAACCATTAGAAGGAAATATTTCCACCTTCGCACTTGAACGATCACAAACACGCACGCACGCACGCACGCACCCATTTAAACATTTAAATGATGACGTCACTTTAATCAGGTGAAAATTTTGCCACATACGATTCGCGAGAGTGATAACGAAAGTAATAAAGGGAGGAGAGGGAAAGGGGAACAGAGAGAGGGAGGAAGGTCAAAATAGGAAGGTGGATGGGAAGGGGAGGAGGGATAAAAAACCGTTGCTTTTAAACCCCCGTTAGAATCCCTCCCCTTACTTTTCCCCCTAAAAAAAAAAGTAATAAAATTTTCCTTTTTTTTTTTTTTTTTTTTATATCCATCAATGATAATAATAACGACATGCGTCGAATAAATTTTGACGTCATAAACTCTGTCATCAATTTTACTTTACTTCCCCCTTGATGATGACGAGAGCAATCGAAAAAATAAAAATTTTTGTTCCCAACATTGGAAAATTAAATAATAATAATAATGATAATAATAATGATAGTAAAAGTGTTTATTCAAAATGGCGAATAAAAAATCGTTAACGTTAATTAATTATTTTTTTTTTTTTTCTAAAGTGAAAGTTTTGTTATTATCATCATCATCATCATTATTATTATTATCATTACTATTACTATTATTATTATTATTATTATTATTATTATTATTATTGTTATTATTATTGTTATTATTATTATTATTATTATTTAATTGAATTCAAATTAAATTCCGCGCGCCGTGAAAAAAATAGAAAGAAAGAAAAAAATGTTTTTTTTTTCTTCCATATTTGACATTTCATAGAGTAATAAGTAAATTTTAATCGTTAATTAAAATCCCTTCTTCCTTTTTAGAAAACTTTCATAGTCGTGGCAGAAGATAGATAATTATTATTTCGTTACCGGCCTTGCAATATTTTTAAAAACAATTTTTTTTTTAAAAAATTGTGTGAAACTCGTCCCAAAAAAATAGATGTCAGGGTTTTCGTATTATTATTATCATTATCATTATCACATTATACTCATATGATTATTATTATTATTATTATTATTATTAATTTCACGATCGATAAAACAATAAGAAAAAAATAAAGAAAGAAAAAAAGAAAAATGACTAAAAATGGTCATAAAATAAAAAAAAAATTTTTTTTTCTGGTTCCACGACTTTTTTTAGTTTTTTTTTTTTTTACGTGTTTGGAATATAAATTATATTTAGCATCGTTCGTTTGGATTATGTGTCCCGATTTTCGTCAGTGTTAAAAAAAAAAAAAGAAAAAACGTTCATTGCCATTTCTCTCTCTCTCTCTCTCTCTCTTTCTCTTTCTCTCTCTCTCTCTCTCTCTCTCTCTTTCTCTTTCTCTTTCTCTTTCTCTCTCTCTCTCTCTCTCTCTCTTTCTCTTTCTCTCTCTCACATAAGTGGGAGAAAGAAACCTGGCAAAAGGTATTTAGGCGTTGTTGTTATCGTCGTTACTCATTTTGTAAACGAAAAAAAGTTGTTGTTGTTGTTGTTACTCGAGGTTATTTTTTCAACATTAAAAAAAAAAATCATCGTTTGTATTTTTATCTTTCATTCTTATTAAACCACCACCACCACCACTACCTCAACCACCTCCGCAAATAAAGTTTCGAAACATTAAAACGTGCGAGAGAGAGAGAAAGAGAGAGAAAAAGAAACAAAAATGGCGATCAAAATCGAAAATACAAAATTTATTTAATTTAAATTAAATTTATTTCCGTTTCCAGTTTATAAAAATTAAAATTCGTTTCGAGATATCTCAAATTTATATCGATCGATATATCGAATTATATTTTTTTTTTTCAAATTATTTTGACAATCGAATCGAATCGAATCGAAAGAACACAAGCGCGCCGTAATCGTGACAATTATTAACGGAACGTTTGTTGTTGTTGTTGTTGTTGTTTGTACCGGTGCGAGTGAGTGAGTGAATGAGGGAATGTTTTTGTTTGTTTGTTCGTGTGTGTGTGTGTGTGTTTGTTTGTTTATTTATGATAAAAATTTTCTAGATGAATGAAAAAATATAATAATAAAAAAACTAAACTTCCGTCTCGATTTTGTGTTTCAATTGAAAAAATATCATCATCATCCGTAATATATGAAAGATTTGCATAAAATAAAAATAAAAATGGCGATTGTCCGATTGAAAAAAAAAAAATCTAAATTTCAAATAAAATATGTAACGGTTTTTTAGTAGTAAATGAGAGAGGGGGCGGGGAGAGGAGGGGAAGAAGGGGATTTTACAATCGTACCATATCAAATTTATTTTAACCGTTCATCATTTCTCCAGTTTAAAAAAAAAATTTCTCATACGTCACAACAAACTTTCTCTTTCTATTTTAAAAAATGGCCGACAAACGCGTATTCGTTATCACGAATTTTAAACATTAATCAAAATCTTTTAAAAAAAAAAAAAAAAAATTTTGTGCAGAAAAGGGAAAAGGAAGAAAACCTTTCGTTGGTTTCTAAAATTTTCAAAGGAAAAAAGGAAAAAAATTTAAGCCATTGCGGTAAACAAAAAAACTTGAATCGCTTCACTTATTTTTTTTCTTTTTTTACAAAAAAAAAATTTTTTTTTTTTTTTTCACTTCATCGGTTGTTGTTTGTTGTCGGCCATTTTTTTCCTTTTTCGTTTTCGTTTCCTTTTTTCCTTTTTTTCCTTTTTCATTGAACCATTAAAATTCACCATTTTTTTTTTTTAAATATTTTTACATAAATTTTAACTTAACGTTTTGCGTGTTTCAAAGAATCGTTTCGTAAATCGTTTGTACGACAAACAACACTCGCCTACGCATTCAAACAAACAAACAAACACGCACACGCACACGCACTCGTTAGATCCATTCGCGACCGCATTATAATAATAATAATAATAATAATAATAATAACGTTTCGTAATCGTTTTTTCTTTTTGTTTTCTTCCTTTGAATGACGTAACGAATTTAAATGTTATTAAATAATTTTTTCCTTTGGAAATCTTCCTTTTTTTTTTTTCAAAATATTAATCATTCGTTTAATGGTATCGTTTATTGTTATTATTATTATTATTATTACACTAACGCGGAGCGTTTTTTTTTAACGTCAAATTTAATTTTAATTTTAATTTTTTGCAATTACGTAACAAACCGGAAACGGAACGAGAGAGAGAAAAAGTCGTTAAATTTTTTTTTTAAACGAATACAGACGACGATTTAAATTGGTTATATTTAGCAGACGACATTTTTTTTTAAATTTAATTCGAGAAAGGTTAAAAGAAATAGGCGATTGGTTTTAATTCAACAACCAATGATTACGTCGCACTCGTCGTAATCGTTTGTCGTTGTCGTTGTTGTTGTTCGATACACATATCGATCGTTTTGATTGAGAAATAATAATAATAATAATTTACAACATTGGGAAGATTTAACGTAATCGTAAAAAAAATTTTTACAAAACAAACGACAAACGATTTTCAAAACAAAAATCGCGTTTCTTCCACTTTTTGAAAAAAACCACAAATAAATTTTTTTTTTCCGTCGTCGCCGCCATTTTACATATTTATTTCGCGTGACCGAATGAAAAGAGAAAAGAAAAAAAAAAAAGAAAATCGAAAAGTTTTTTTTTTTTTTTTTTTTTTTTTGTATGTTGGTAACTCGTGTTATTTTACAAACGAAAACTTTTCACACTTCCTCCGACTTGATTTCTTTTAAAAGGATTTTCGTGTTTTTCTATATATTTATATCAGATAGTCTCGAAACGTTTTTTTCTTTTAGAAGTTTCCTACACGAGTAAAAAAAAAAAAAAAAAAAAAAAAAAATAAGAAGAAAAACCACACGTGGGCTAATTAAAAACTTTTCCTCCGGAAAGTTGTTGTAAAAATTTTGAATTTTTTTTAATTACGTTAACAAACCTACGACATACAAAATAACATTCGTTCGACAACAAATTTAAAAATTCCCGCCAATTTGAATCGAATCGTTTTTTTGACGTCACAACCATTAACGTTCACATCATCTTTTTCTCTTTTTGTCCCGAATTAATTCTGACGCGTATTATCAGTTATCATCTTCTGCTTCTTCCTCTTTTTACAGGTTTATCATATTTCGACATTAAAACGTTATTTAAATATTGTTTTGACGTTTAAGTCCGTGGAAGTAGAAACGAGAAAAAAAAAAACGTTAACGTTCTCCTTTATAATAAACCCAAAATCGAAAAATTTAAATTTTTGATTTATGTAAAATTTGAAAATCTCGAAGGGATTCATTTCCTTTTTTCCTTTTTTTTGCACGCGAAAAGGTAAAAAAAAAAAAAAATGATAATGATGATGATGATGAGGATTTACGTGACCCCGGATATTTTGTCTACGTACACGTGCATGTAACTTTCATCAGGGACGAATGATTTTATCATATACATTAACAACAACGTCAACAACAACGACAACAACAACAACAATAACAGCAACAACAACAACAACAACAACAACAATAACAACA